CCAAAGAAGAATTGATGCATTTGAATTATGATGTTGGCAAAGAATATTGAAAATACCACAGACTTCCAGGAGAACAAACAAGTCTGTCTTGGAAGAAGTACATTTAGAATGTTCCTTAGAAGAAAGAATGGTGAGACTATGCTTGGTTGATTGATTGCTGGTATTTTTTGTATTTGGGGCCTGTTATCAGGAGAGACCAGTCCCTGAAGAAGGACCTCATGCTTAATAAAATATAGAGGCATTGAAAAAGGGGCTGATTCCCTCCCAGGGGGACAGACAACAGAAAGGTAGGTGAAGGGAAACATCGGTCAGTGTAAGACATGAAAAAGAAAATTTACAAATTATCAAGGATTCATGAGGGAGGGAGGAGAAAAAATGAGGAGCTGATACCAAGAGCTCAAGTAGAAAGAAAATGTTTTGAAAATGATGGTGGCAACAATGTACAAATGTGCTCGACACAATGGATGTATATGTGGATTGTGATAAGAGTTGTACGATAAAATTAAAAATAAAGAGGAAGACCTTTGACAAGATGGACGGAGAGACAGTGGCTGAAACATTGAGCTTCAACATGGCAAATGTGAGGATGGTGCAGAAGTGGGCAGTGTTTCCATTTCACATGGCGTTGCTATGAGTTGAAACTGACTCAGTGGCACCTAGCCATAAAATCAGCATAATATTCACATTTATATTTCCTTTAAAATACAACAGAACCCTGTTGGCATATTGGTTTTGCACTCGGCTGTAATCCACATGGTAGGCAGTTGGAAACCACTAACATTTCGGCAGGAGAAACACTGTGAATCATTGTTCCAGTTTTTAATATTTTCTTTGTTGTTGTCAACTGAGGTTTTTCTTCTGCTTCATTCTGCCATTGTTGTTGACAGTTTATTTGTGTTTTGTTTTGATTTTGTATTTTTTTATATGAAACCCAGAAAAGACAATAGTTTCAAAGAGACGTAGCAGGAGAAGTGAGAGAGAAACGGAGCGCTAACAGCGAGTACAGGGAAGAAGAAATAGTCTGGAATTGACTGTGGTGATGGTTTCACAGCTCTTGTGAATGTGACTGAACTAGTGAAATAAATGCAAGATATATGAATTCTACGTTGGTGAAACTGTCCAAAATAAGTAAACTTTTTAAAAATGAGTGCATACAGCCTTTTTATGAAGATGGTGCCGCAGGTGAATAAGGAAATCCCTGTCCTTCCCCAAACTGAAGCCAAAGCAAAAGTGTTAAAGACCAAGAAGGTCAGGCTGAAATGCATCCACAGCCCAAAATAAGATCTGCACTTCACTCACTTTCTGGGCCCCAAACACTGAGGCTACGAAGCTAGCCTAGTCTGTGGCAAATCAACAGACACTCCACAAGAATGAGAGGAGAAACTTCCTGGAAAATCAAATTACAACCAGGGGAGAGGGGCATGTACATTTCAGAAAAGACACTTATATTTCTGAGGTTGAGTATGGTGGGTAAATGGGGAGGAGCAACCTCACAGTAGGAAGGGATTTTAACCAATAATTGTAGGGAAACTAAGGGAGAATAAACCCAAATCTATATTCCTGAATAGACACTTTCGCTTAAGTTTCTACCCAACCCTCAGTTAGCCATGCCATGGACTGAGCACTATAATGATCTTACACAGAGGCCTAACAGAGAACACAGCATCCCCCAAGGACCACCCTCGTTGTGGAAGCCCGACTGAACAAACTGGGACCTACCTGAAAACTACCTATAGCCCTTGGATTTAGGAATGAAATTCCCTGATGGGAAAGGCAGCAAGTGATGGCTACCCCAAGATGTGGAAATGGTGGTCATTGTCCCTTGGGTGGGACCCCTTCCTTAGTGGGTGTCTAATGAAAGGAGACCCAGAACCATCATGTATTTACTATCTCAACGCTCCCCTTGCATTAGTCTAGCAGGTATTAATCTGATAGTCAAGGATCTGCCTTTGTAAAAAATGTTACAGGAAAACTTCCCCTAGCACCAACCCCCATGCTCCATGCAAACTGAACTCAATTATTTAAGAGTTCAATTTGCATACACTAACAACTCATAGGCTGCAGTTCCCAGCCAAAATATAGTCACATAACCTCCTCCTTTCAACAGTACCTTAAATTCCATGCCATTGGATAAATTACTGATGTTATCAATGCAATTGCCTCATACCCCAGGGGGTGATTGACAATGTTTTTCTTTTTTCTTTTGTTTTGTTTTTGGTTTCTTCATTGTTGTTGATTGGGGAGAGAGCGGTTGTTTGGTTGATTGGTTTTGTTTTTTGTGTAATAAAATGATAATATGACCACTAAAGTAAACCAGAGCCATTCACAACATACGGATAAGCAGATAGGTTCTGGGTTTGCACTTAATTCTAGGCCCAATCCAAAAACAGTTGATTCTTATAATATGGCCCTGCTCTATACTCACTTTCATGAAGAGATCACTGATGATATGGGTGCGACAGCAAAGTGTGGTGAAGAAAACAGATGGTGGCCAGCTATCAATTGGAATAGTGTCTGGGGCCTTAAAGGCTTGTAATCAAACAAGCAGCTCTCTAAGGGAGGCATCAACTAAGCCCACTTGGGTGAAGTAAAGCAGCCTGAGTAATCCAAAGATGACAATAACATAGTCCAAATATGCTGAAAAGAAAGTTATCAAGCTAAACTTGTAAACGCCAAATTTGTAGAAGACTAAGGAGGAGAGTGGGATCCCAAAATCCATCTATAAAGTATATATAGTCAAATTAAGCCTCTGGCAGATCCTTTCTGGCCATAGTCAAGGGACCCAAATAGCTTTGCTACCAGACAGAGATTATTGTAAATTTGATTATAGTTCATGGAACTGTGGTATAATATGATACCTGGTCAGACCTCCTTCTTGATCCAACCTGAATTTGCTCTAGGTTTAAATATTTCTTGTTCATGACAGAAATTTCCTTTCTGGCTTTTAAAAAATATTGTTTTCTTTTACTCTTTATTGTTATCTTTATATTATTATTTTCTTTCTGTTTTGTTTTTATTTCTGTTACAAGGAGTGGATGCATAGAGACAATAACAGATGCAATGGCTTGTGGGGGATGGGAGCTAGGGAGAGTAGGGGGAACTGGGAGCAAATGAATGCAGAAGGAAGGAGAGAGCACTAGAATGGATTGTGATGATGTCTATACAATCTATAAAAGCGACTTAACTTTGGGAGTATATGATATGGAAAGTTTATATCAATAAGACTATTAAATAATTAAATAATTTAAAAAGTGTTAAAAAAAAGAAGGCAGCCTAAATATCCTCAGAAGATAGCTCCAGGAGAAATGAGCTTGACCACTATGTCATCATCAAGTTCCCCCTGACTGAGACAGCCATGGAGAAGACAGAAGATAGCAACACACTTTTACTGATTGTGGACGTCAAGGCCAACACGCTCTAGATCAGACGTCATGAAGCAGCTCAGTGACATTGGCATAGCCAAAGTCAACATCCTCATCAGGCCCGACAGAGAGAAGAAAGCCTATGTTCAACTGGCTCCTGGCTATGTTCCTGTAGAATCTAAAGTTTAGATGTTGCCTACACAATTGGAATCATCTACACTAAGTCCAGCTGGTTAATTCTAAATATAAACTCTTTCAATAAATAAAAAAGTGCCTATAAAATAGGTGAAGTCCAAAACAAGCTCTCGGGTTTGTACCAATGTTAGTATCCTGGTTTTACTATGGCACACTACTCAACATTGGGAAACCGGGTGAAAGGGGAAGGGGATCTCTCTGAACTAACTACTCCAATTCCCGGTCAATCTGTAATTATTTCAAATAAGAAAACTAATGTTTATTTAGTAAGAACACAAACACTTTTCAAACAACAGTTTCTGGGAAATATTAGTATTCATAATATTTTGAAAGTACCAAGTGAATTGTTTTAGCTTGAACGTATTTTCTTTTTTTCTCACTACAACCAAACTTTTCAGTAGGTGCAAGTATTAAAGAGAAGGTATGAGTGTTGGATAAACACAAATTACTGTCACTAATCAACTAGACTTCTGAATTAAGTTTTTGGAATTAAGGAAATCAAACATTTTTGTGGGAAATTATTTTTTTACAGTTGATTTACCAAGGTTAATATCCTCTCTGATTAAAGTAGTATATGGTTAAAAAAAAACACATGGAAGTTAACAATAAGAGTAAAATGTACCCAGCTATATAGTACTACCTAGCAAAAACCGTTTTATGTATGTCTATAAACAAGTTTAAATCTCAAAACAACAGTTTACTCTAGATTTTCTTATATTCTCATTTTATGGATGAGGACCAGAAAGCACAGAGGTGTCTCACAGGTACTAATGCAGTGACAGATTAATAAGATTATACAGACTTTCCGCTATAGTCACATTTTATGATGGACATCTTTCAAGAAGCATACTGTTCAAAAATTTTTTTCTTCAATTACATTAGCATGTGTGATATTTCTTCATCAGTTTTCGCTCATTGTTCATTCCTTTTTGCTCACCAGGCAGGAAATAAAAGAAGCAACACTACTTTCAGTGTTCCTTTCTCCGTATTAAAACGACAATAAATAAATAAATAACCTCTGTGAGGAGAGAATGAGTAGGAACATTTGGATTTGAAAGCTGAAATGACTTCAGTGTAGGGTTGAAATTTACGTTACTATTGTTTAATAGGGATTACATGAACAAAAAGAGCGGATGTTTGAAGACGTCATCAGTAAGTGCTCATCGCTCGTCTTGGACGCCATGTGAGAAACGGACTGAGTTGACACCTGGTCCAGGGCCAGGCCCTCCCAGTAAAACTGCAAATTGAGCGCCCACAGGGGGCGGGGCGGAGGGGGCACAGCCCACTCCCAAGGGCGGTCAGGGCGATCCCACACGCTCTATTGGGGGCTTCCTGGCGGCAACCGGAAGCTGCAGAAGTCCTTCCGGGCCAGTGCAAGGGCTTCGGGCAGCTGCACGTGGCGGCCTCATCACTGCGTCGTGTTGAGTTCGATCCCGTTCTGTACTTGGTCTAATCCAGCGCCATGGCCTCGCGGTACGACCGAGCGATCACTGTCTTCTCGCCCGACGGACACCTTTTCCAAGTGGAATATGCGCAGGAAGCGGTGAAGAAAGGCTCCACGGCGGTGAGTCGGCCCAGCCGGGGCCTCGGCTCAGGCCGGCCTCGGCCGGTTTCCTCGGCCCGCTTTGTGGGCGCAGGGCAGGCAGGACAGCTTCACCCCGATTTGTGAGAATTGCTTTGTCCATTTTGTCGGGGGAGGGACAATTTCTGAGATCTGGCAGCGGAAACGGCGGTAGATTTCATTGGTTTCTGTGTGTGTGTGTGTGTGTGTGTGTGTGTGTGTGTGTGTGTGTTGCTGCTGTAATCTTGCGACATTCAACTTTTTATTAAGAAAAGATTTCCTACCTGACTTCCGTGTGTGTGTGTGTGTGTTGCTGCTGTAATCTTGCGATAGTCAACTTTTTACTAAGATTTCCTACCCGACTTCCAGAAAGTCCACTTCCTAAGGAAGTCACCCACTGTCATTGCGTGGATTCCAGAGCATACGGTAGCAACCCTATCGGACAGGGTAGAACTGTCCACTTTGGACTTCGAATAGTTTAAATCTTTGTGGGAGCTGGAAGCTCATCTTTCTGCTGCCAAAGTCAGCCTAGTGTAACAATTCCTTATGGTTGGAAGCCTGCCAGCCCTGAAACATAAGGAATCCAGGTGGTGCTTAGCTTGGTTAAGGGCTTGGCTGCAAACGGAAAGATTGGGACTTCTAACCTACTAGCTCACGGGTTGTGGGCCGTGGGGGGATGGGGGTGGAGGTGATGAGGCTTGCAATCTGCGCCCATAAAGATTTTAAAAAACCGAGCCCACTGCCATGGAGTAGATGCCAACTCATAGGAACCTTTTAGGACAGAGTAGGAGAGTGGTTGGTGAGTTTCAACCGCTGACCTTGCGGTTACCATCTGATCACCAATAGGTTTCCTTTCTGTAAAAATGACAGCCTGAGAAGCCCTTTGCGCAGCTCTACTCTGTTCTATAGCATCATGTTGAGTCAGAATTAACCCCCTAGCGCCCAGTCCCTGAAAGATGAACTAAACCAATGTAAGATTAAGCACTTGTTGAATAGTGAACAGTTAAAAAAAAAACCAGTAGTCCATTTACCAAACTCTTAGGCCCATTGAAAATAATTGTCCTAAGATTTGCACCCAAATACTTGGCAGCCTTTGAGAGGCTCAGAACCCCAAGAATCTCTACTCTTTTGTCACATTTTTTTGTTTGTTGTATTTAAAGGTAAGATTGGGAAATTCCTTTTAAGCTACATATCCACATTTCTGAAAAAACTTTTACCAAGTCCTAGCTTATGAATTCAAAGGATCAGATGTTTTTTCCCTCTTTTTAATCTCACAAATACCATGAATATGTTCGCTGTATATTTTAGAAACTTACACATTAGCTATCAGAATAAACAGTGCATTTCTTAGTGGTACCTTTAGTTTCTCCTTTCACACAACTTCTTCATGTAAGGAAATAATTCACTTTTATTGTGCATCCATCAAAGATAAAGTGGTTAAAAATAACACTAGAAATATTCTTATCATTTTAAAAAGTATTTTCCTACTTAATTGGGCCCACTAGTTTTGTTTTTGTTTTATAGGTATTTTTTAGAATTATAAATGTACAAAAAGCCTTTTGTAGCTAAAACCAAAAGGGTACCATTTTGATTAAAAAAAAAAACACCCCAAAATGTATATAATCCCCAGCATGGCATGCAGCATATGTTAGAAAATAATGCCCAAGCTTTCAAGTCTAAAATAAGGGAGTAATGGGAGGAGACTGGGGTGTAATAAGAAACCACATTGGCTCATTTAAAATGTTTTAAGAATGCTATAGAACTGATTGATAGTTCCTTTGTAATGAGCTGTAAAAGGGTAAGGATATAAAAATACCTATAGTGGGCATTTTTAAAGACCTATTGGAAGAATGAGACCATTTTGTCAAAGGGTTCTGAAATTAGAATTTGCATCTTTGTATGGAGTTATTCATTGTGTTTCCTTGAGGGGACTCTGCCCTTTTACATAGTGGAAAGTTTATAATGGCACTTATTTATTAAACTATATCACAAAACATTCTGCTTTTAAATGACAGTTGAAATGATGAGTCCTAAGCAAGCCAAGTTTGACCACTTTTGACCAGGGTGCGGTATTACGTGCTTAATGATAGAAAAGTTAAAAACCGCAATTCCAGGCCATGGATCCCAGTTCCTTTCTTGACGGAGCATGGAGTGAAGCACAGGTCTGCTTTCTTGTTGTTTCTGTTCCCTTTTCTAGAAATGAGAACTATGTTTGAATAGCATTTGGAGAGATAATAGCCTTTCTTCTTCAGAGCCAAAACAACGAAAGGAATCTTTCATAATATTCCCATGAAAAAGTTGTGGTTCATTATTCTGTCATCCTGTCCTTTCCCTGACCCCAACTGTTACTGGCTCTACATTTCCTACCTTATCAAATATCAGTTTCACTATCTGGCCACACATTCTTGCGTAATCCTCATCTGTCCTCCTTAATTCAAGTGACAGCTTCAGGATTTTATGAATGTATCAGGCTGATAGATGCTTTTGCCCTTGGAGCTGGGAAGAGAAAAAAATAATAACATTCTTCCTCTAAACTTCTTACTACTCACACTTCTCCTTCTCTATAAAGCTCCCTGTGATCCGTTCCAGTCATCGCGGACCTGTTTCTTCTACTGAGTGAATCATCTGTACTGTAGAGTATTGTGCTATATTTACTAATTGGCCTTGTATTCCCTTCAAGTTCAGTTATGTTAACAATCCCCGCATCCTAAGTGAATAGTAAGACCCTTGAGGCTATCAGTAGTGGAATTCATTTTATAAAAAGTTCAATCACACCATACTCAACTGAGGGAGTAGGAAATAACCATTTAAGTAATATGTATTTTGTACCAGAAATTTTAAGTTGTCTAATTATAAGGGCAGTATTTAATCTCTTTTTTGTATGTGTAGAAATTATGATTCAGATTCTTTAATAAATTGAAGGAATCCATCAAACCAATGATGGGAGTACATATTTACACTTAAAATTTTCTTTCAAAACCTCTACTCTGCATTGTACCATGGAAGTAATTCAATAAATATATATGTATACATATATATTGTTAGTTAGCTGTTGGTATGGTGTGGAATCTTGATATGGAAACTAAAGATTAAGGGAGAGAGCCATGGTAGCATAGTGGGCTACGCATTGGGCTACTAACTGCAGGGTCAGAAGTTCAAAATCACCAGCCGTTCTACAGGAGAAAAAAGAGAGAGACTTTCTACTTCTATAAAAGAGTTACAGTCCTAGAAATCCCACAGGGGTAGATCTGCCCTATCCTATAGGGTCACTATGAGTTGGAATCAATTTGATGACTGTGTTTGGTTTTGAGGTTTAGGGAAAGAAATCTTACTGCCTGCTAACCCGGTAGCTGGAGCTCACCCAGCAGGCTGCAGGAACGAGACTCTGGTTCTCTCCTCCTGTGAAGGTGACAGTCTAGAAACCCTGGTGGCGCTGTTACGTTCTGTCACATGGGGTTGCTGTAAGGTGAAATCAGCTCAGTGACACCCTACAAGCACAGCAGGATAAGGGAAGTGTTCCTACAAAGGTGGTATTGAAGCAGACATGAAGATGAAAGATAGCCAGGTGGAGTATTCCTGGCAAAGGAGAAAGCGTGTGGGAAGAACAAATAGCCAAAGGCAGTTGTGTCCTATGTTCTGGGAACTGGAAAGCATTTGTGATTGTCGAGACAATGGGAACATAGGAAGAGATGAAGCTAGAAACAGGGACTGTGTCATTGAGTGCTTTTAAACTCTATTGGTGGTCAGTGTTTCAACCCCACTGTAAAGATTTGCAGTCTACTCCTGTAAAGATTTACAGTCTCTGAAGCCCTGTACAGGGTCACTATGAGTTAGAATTGGCTTGATGGTAGTAGCTTTGGTGAGTCTTAAGGCAGCGGTTCTCAACCTGTGGATCACGACCCCTTTGGGGGTCGAACAACCTGGTTGGTTACCTGATTCATAACTAGCAAAATTACAGTTAAGAAGTAGCAACAAAAATAAGTTTATGGTTGGAGGGTCACCACCACATGAGGAACTATACTAAAGGGTCGCACATTAGAAGGTGGAGAACCACTGTCTTAAGAGAAGAAGCCTTAAAGGGTTTTAATGTGCCTGTTATCATTATTTCAATGTAAAGGAACCTAAAATCCACACAACTGGACCAGTAAGTAACCATGATAAATGGAGAAAAAGTTGAAGTTGTCCAGGATTTCGTTTTGCTTGGACCCTCAATCAGTGCTTATGGACGAAGCAGTCAAGAGATCAGATGACACACTGTATTGGGTAAATCTGCTGTACAATGCCATAACACACTATGGGTAGTCTTGAGAAAAATGGGAATTCCAGAATACTTAATTTTGCTCATTTGGAACCTATGCGTGGATCAAGAGGCAGTTGTACAAACAATACTGCACGGTTTAAAATCAGGAAAGATGTGTGTGAGGGTTTATCCTCTCACGATATTCAATCTGTGTGCTGAGAAAAGAATTAGAGAAGCTGGATTATATGAAGAAGAGTGTGTCATCAGGATTGGACGAAGGCTTAACCACCTGTAGTATACAGATGACGCAACCTTGCTTGCTGAAAGTGAGGAGGCCCTGAAGCACTTACTGATGAAGATGAGGACGGGACTGGAGTCTTCAGTATGGATTGCAACTCAGTGCAAAGAAGACCAGAATCCTCACAACACGATAAATGAGAAAAGATTGATGTCCAGGATTTCATGTTGCTTCGATCCTAATCAATGTGCATGGAAGTGGTAGTCAATAGATCAAATGAATTGCATTGGAGAAATCTGTTACGCAAGACCTCTTGAGAGCGTTGCAAAGCAGGGAGGTTACTTTGCGAACTAAGGTGCCCCTGGCCCAAGCCACTGGTGGATTGTAAACACCATGGCTTGTGCCAGGGGCACCTTAGTTGTAATCGCCTCATATGTGTGTGAGGGTTGGACATTGGGTAAGGAAGACCAAAGAAGAATCAATGTGTTTGAATTGGTGCTGGTGAAGAATATTGAAAAACATGAACAAACCAATCTGCTTTGGAAGACATACAGCCAGAATGCTCCGTAGAATGAAGGATGGCTTAGAAGGAAGACTTCACCTCACACTCTTTGGACATGTTGTCAGGAGAGACCAGTCCTTGGAGAAGTACCTCATGCTTGGTAAGGTAGAAGGGAAATAAAATCTATGATAGGACTGAGTCATGTTTAGCTCTGTTACATATGGGATCACTCTGAGTTGACATTGACTTGACAGCTCATACCAACAACATTGCCATTATCTTTATTACTGTTATTCTGTTCTAGTATCAGATTTTCTCTTAATTGCTTATGGTCCCCAGTCTCTATTCCGCCAAATTTTGTGATAGTAGGAGAGGTTTTACTGCATTTTATCAACTTATCTTTATGCTTGCCCACTAAGGATTTCTTGATCTTTCAAATTTCTATTTGTCATTTTTGCTTTGCATTTGGGGGCTTTCTAGTAAGGTAGTACCAATGCAACTATTTGCCCGGAAATCTACTTTTCTAGCTTTTATTTATTTATTTTATTTTTATTTATTTATTTTTAATCAATTTATTGGGGCTCATACAATTCATCACAATACATAGATCAGTTGTGTAAAGCACATCTATACATTTGTTGCCCTCATTATTCCCAAAATTCGCTTTCCTCTTGAGTTCCCGGAATCAGCTCATTTTCCTTTTTCCCCTCCCCTTCCCTTCCGTCCTCCCCTCTCCCCATGCACCCTTGATAATTTATAAATTATTATTTTATCTTATATTACACTGTCCGGCGTCTCCCTTCACCCACCCCTCTGCTACCCATCCCCCAGAAAAGAGGTTATATGTAGCTCCCTGTGATTCATTCCCCCTTTCTACACCCCCTTTCCCTCCTGGTATCACCACTGTCACCCCTGGTCCTGAGGGGCTCATCTGTCCTAGATTCCCTGCGTTTCCAATTCCCATCTGTACCGCTGTGCATCATCTGGTCTAACCAGGTCTGCAAGGCAAAATTGGGGTCCTGGTAGTTGGGGGGAGTTTTCTAGCTTTTATAATTAAGGAAAAGGCTTTTCCCCCTAAGACAAGTGTTAAAGTAACTTGATTTTAATGTTAAAATTGATAGTGAATTATGTTTTTTTCATTGATTTTACAGGTTGGAATTCGAGGTACCAATATAGTTGTACTCGGAGTAGAAAAAAAATCTGTTGCCAAGCTTCAAGATGAAAGAACTGTGAGGAAAATCTGTGCCCTTGATGACCATGTCTGCATGGCTTTTGCAGGTACTCAAGGGCCCTTAGTATTGTTAAGTCAGCACAGCTGGCCTCTCTATTGCTTTTGAGCTATATATGCAGCACATGTGAGCTAGTACAACCATTCAGTACTAAAAACAATAAACTCATCGTTTAAGGCAAAAGAGAGCTCTGCTTGTGTAGTGGGTTACACATTGAGCTGCTAGTCACAAAGTCAGCAGTTTGAATCCACCAGCCTCTCTGGAGGAAAAATGATGAAGCTATCTGTTCCTCTAAGGATTCAGAGGCTTGTAAACCTAGAGGCAGTTCTACTCTGTCATATGAGGCCGCTATAACAGAGTTTGGGAGTGAGTTTGGTGGAGTGTTTTGTTTTCGGTCTTAAGGAAAATTACAACTCTGTATCCACTGCATATACAGGTTGCCTTACAGTCTGTCCTCAAATTTCCTGTACCCACTGGAGTACTTGGATAAGCATTCCATGAAGTAGTACCTACTACCCCATGAATGTTATGTTCGTTTACCCTAAACAGGTTGTACACACAAGACAATACAACGAATAAGTCATAGTGTTGGCAATGGTGAAAGTCTTTTCAATTGCTTAAAGAGACAACAGGAAAACAAGTGGTCCGTCCTAGCTCAAAAGCACCCTAACAAAAAAGAAAACTGAGGGCACCCCTTTCTTTGCCTCTTCAAAAAAGACCCTGACTAAATAATTTATAAATTTTCAAGGGTTCATGAGGGTAGGAGGATGGGGGAGGGAGGAGAAAAGAAAGGAGCTGATACCAAGGACTCAAGTAGAAAGAAAATGTTTTGAGAATGATGATGGCAACATATGTATAAATGTGCTTGATACAATTGACAATTGATGTATGGATTATTTTAAGAGCTATAAGATCCCCCAATAAAAAGATTTATTAAAGTAAAATAAAAATAACTTGCAAAAAAAGGACCCCACTATCTTATCCCACCCATCTCATTTTCCAGTGATTGTATCAGAGGGGGTACCCCCCAAAAACTGGATTATTTTTCTCCAAAGATATATATTAAAATTTTTTTTACAAAACAACCTTTTGGCTTTCAAAGTACTCGCCATTACACTTAATACATTTGTCAAATCTACAATTCCATTCTTGACACATTTTTCAAATTCAACTGTTTGGATGGCTGACAGCACCTCCCTCATTTTTTTCTTCACTTCTTCTACATCATCAAATCACTGCCCATTCATGTCCCTCTGCATTCGCAGAAACAAAAAGAAGTTGCATGGAGCTATCTCAGGTGAGTAAGGTGCATGGGACGAGAGTGGCATGCTGGGTTTTTTGGGGGTTTTTTTGCCAAAAACTGGTGCACTGAAAGGGCTGCATGAGCAGGTGTATTGTCATGGTGGCAAAACCAGTCTCTCATTTGCCACAAATCAGGCTTTTTTTCTTGAACACTGTTAGGCAATCTTTTCAGAACCTCTAAATAGAAAGCTTGATTAAGTCTGATCTGGTGGAATGAACTCCAAATGCCCTATCCCCATTCATATCACATCCAGTTTTTGTAGGGTACTCCCTCGTATTTTACTTTGGTTGATTCAGCTCTTTTATTTCATCATATCTTCCATTCACATTAGCTATTTTACATTTACAGCCAGTTTCAAAGTCTCTTCTGACACTCATGTAGATCTTTTCTTTGTTTCCTGTCTCAATAATGACCTTTTGCTTTTTTCATATATGTCATTCTTGATGTCATCTCACAGTTCCTCTGGTCTTTGATCATTAGTGTTCAGTGCATCAAATTATTCTTGAGGCAGCTTCTAAATTCAGGTGGGATAGACTCAAGACTATAATTAGGCTTTGGTTGACTTGCTAGTTATTTATTTATTTACTTACTTATGGACTTGTTTTAATTGTTCTTCGGTTTCAACTTGAACTTGCAAATAACAGATTGTTGGTTCTATCATTGACCCTTGGCTTTGTTTTAGCTAATGATATTGAGATACTCCATTATCTCTTCCTACAAATGTAGTTGATTTGACTCCTTTTAAAACGATGATTGATATAGATTTGATTCTGATGTATACTTTTTGGCAATCTCCATATGTGTAATTGTCTTATGTTGGGGAAAAAAGCTCTTTGCAGTGAATGAGTTATTGGTCCTGTAATAGTCTCCATATGCTCTCTACCTTCATTTCTGTCGTCACAGCCATATTTTCCAACCATCAACCCTTCTTCACTGTTTGCAGCTTTCATATTCCGATCACCAATAATTATCATTTTCAAGTTTGATAAGTTTCACACTGTTAGAATTCTTCAATTTGTAGTTGCTGCATAATTTGAATAATAATCATATTGTCTTCTTTGTAGGCATAAAGATAGCCTATCACAGAGATCATTGTACTCAACATAGTTCTTGAAGTGTTCTTTTTTGCTAATGAGTGAGACAATATTCCTTTTGACACATCACTGCTGCCATAGTAGATCATATGATTGTCTGATTCATGACCAATAGCAGCCCATTTCAACCCACGAGTGCCTCCCATCCCAATGTTTCTATGTCCCGTTTCATTTGTCACAACTTCCAATTCTCATCAAGGCATATTTTTCACATTCTATGTTCCTGTTACTATTGGGCGTTTACAGTTGTTTCTTCTCAGGTTGAGTCATGCCCCGTCAGTGCGAGAAGGAAGGTCCTGAGAGCTTTGTTCCACCCACATTCTCCGTGGCAATTCTGTATCGAGTGCCTTTCAACTTGAAGTGCTCATCTCTGGCACTAAATCAAAGAATGCTCTGCTGTTATTCATAATATTTTAGGTGCTTAATTTTTCAGAAATGGACCACTTATTCTTCCTAGTCTGGAGTCTCCTTCATAATGTTGAAATATTTTAATAATGAACACATGGGGGGCAAAGGAATACAGTTCTGTTTTGAAAAAATACTTTTGTTCTGTTTTGATAATAGTATTTGGGGGGAAAAATTACGAAAAAGTGGGAAACTTGAAAAATGTGTTTAGATGTGGAATTCCACTTAGTGGAAATTTTACATTACAATAGTATCTTCACTGTAAAGTTTTAGTTTAAATTTGTAAGCACTAGATTGAAGGCTCATTACATGTTTATTTATAAATAGCAAGTTGTAATTTCAGATCCTACTTTTAATTAAATATAATGTGTTCTTACTGTAGCCAGTTAGTATTAATTAATATGTGAGGGAGGCTTCAAAAAGTTTGCAGGAAATTTTTATTATCTTTCTATTCCATTTTTCATGAACATTTAGGGCCCTTTGTCTCTTGCAGTCACTACTAGTGTTAAAAACTGGCATATAAATGTACACAATATTGTTTATATGGTTTGGCAGGTTTATGACTAATTATTTTTTTCTTGGATCACTCATTTGTTGTATACTACTTTTTAAAGAATGATAGTTATATGTTTCTTCAGTGTGGGATCATGTTTACATTCTTAAAGATAAATACTTGCATATCTTCTACCAGATACTATTTTATAATGGAGTGGTGTTTGAATCTTCTCTTGCCATTTCTTTTCCGCAAATACCATTCGAGAGAGAAGAGGATCCATTCCTCTTTCTGTAATTGAGTATCTGATTACAGTTGACACTCTGCCTGTGAGTATTAGGGTGACTCCAGTGGTAGCATGTCTGACACCCGCTTCATGGTTGGCTGATAGTTATTTATCTTCAGGAACTGACAATTCTTCCAGGTTTGTAGAAACAGGATGTGGAATGGCATTGAGGGGTAATCATTGTTTAGGGATACAAATGATTGATGATTTGATTAGGAATAGCAGTTTCAGAGCTCTGGTGAATTTTCGGGTTTTTTGGCCGTATGGTATAAAGAATGTAAGGGGAGGGAGAAATTAAATTAAAACTGACCATGGGAAGGTCAGATGCCAAAGAGGTTGTACATACAAATGTTTGCAATTATGTGGCTATTGAAGTTTGTCATGAATATGTTATTTTCCTCAGAAACACGGTCGGTTTCTTTATCCAAGTATTGGGAATTACCACATGGCGTTTGATATTATTGTGTTCTAATGTTCTTACGGCCTTTGATCCTAGCCAGAGAGCTGAGAAGTGCCATATTCATATTTGTATTGAAAGCAGTTTTAATTCATTAAATTAGTGTTTGATGATAAAGTAATATTCATTGTTTTCATAAGAAGAAATTGGGTGATTTCATAGTTTAGGTATGAAGTTGATTTCTTCTGATGGCTGGATTCAGCATAGACCATCAACCTTTAAATAGTGTGTCATTGAGATATTTTTAGATAGGTTTATAATAAATCTGATATTTTAAGGAATTTGCTATACTTCCAAAAATATGGTTATAAAGGTTCTGAAAAAATATTTTACTCATAATATTGTATTTTTATAATACAAGTCTTTTCAAGTCAGAGTTTTATCAATAACTGTTAGTGATTTTGTATAAATACTTATTAATGCCTCGTGACTAAATCAACTACTATGAATAAACTGGTTTGATCTTCTGGAAATTGTTTTCTTAACATTTGTCTTTAAACAATTCTTTAAAACTAGTTTATTTTTTTAAACTATTTTATTTAAAAGGCAAATAAGAATGTATCAAACTAAGTCTTGAAGTAAATAAATCAGAATTTGGAATAACCAATGCTTTTATTTTCCAAGCCCTTTAAAATCAGAATTTGAGAAAAACAGTGGATACTATATGAAAGATTTCATAATACCCAAACCCTTCTGACACAGAAAGTCACCTTTTTCGGTACTGTATTGAATCCTTTTCTAGGACTCACAGCTGACGCGAGAGTAGTAATCAACAGAGCCCGCGTGGAGTGCCAGAGTCATAAGCTTACAGTGGAGGACCCAGTCACTGTGGAATACATAACTCGCTTCATAGCAACTCTAAAGCAGGTGAGCTGCGAGTCTTACACGGTGCTTCGTGCTTTCTCCCTCTCCGTCATTACGAGTGCTAGTATGGAAGTACCATCAATCCAACCATTTGGGAAGCCGTCTGCCTTCCAAAAGTAAATCTTTGTAACACAAGAGCCTGAGTTCAGTAATAGAATGGATTGATCACCAGACATATTTTAATCTGTAATAATTCTGGGAATAATTAAAAATTCTAAAGGACCAATAAATATGATCTTTTACGGGAGTCACTATGCTTCTGGAGTTATATCAATAAGAAACCGTCTTTGACATTTTCCAAATTTTGGAATAGCATGATTCTTTCACCTATAAACCTGCACACAATCAGGTTGGCTTCTGATTCTAGATATTGATACATAGTTTAACATGAAGTATAATCACGATATGCACAGTTAACTTTTTCACTTCATTTTTATTTTATGCATGTCAGTATAGTCCTTAGAGTTATCATTTTTACTAACTATATGAGAGGGCTTAGAAAATTTTGTAGGAAAGTTGAATGAAGAGTTATTTGGATTCCCCCACACTGAACTTGTTGAAGCACCAATGCCTATATCTGGTTTCTATCTGATAATTTATTGTCTCCAGTTTCTTTTTCAGTAGTTCCCTCACTTGGACTTGTTTTTTTTTTTTAATTTTAATAGTAGTATTGTCTTTTTCACAGCTGTTCCCCCCCTTTTCAATCATATTGTTAATTATATAACAGGATGGAATTATTAGATCAGAAATTGTAACTTTTTTGTTTTTTTTTTAATCAATTTATTGGGGCTCATACAATTCATCACAATACATAGATCAATTGTGAATTGTAACTGTTTTTAAGGCAGGTGTTATGTGGTGTAATTGCTTTCTGGAAAAGACTAGGCCAGATTGTATTGTGTAAAAAGCAATGCATAAATATATCTCTGAAGAATCAGCAATGCATAATGTGGAGTTTTCCATTTTTTCTTTCATCTTGCAAATAAAAACAATGTAGCACTCTTAGTTGTCTTATTTTGTATTGTATAATTAGTATTATGGTTGAATTATTTCCACATATTTATTTGGTTTCCACATGTGTGTTCTTCTCCTAGTGAAAAATGTCTTTCCTTTATGATAAGCACTTCGGTGGTTAAGAATGTATCCCAGGAGCTAGAATATTTTAGTGTAAATGCTAGCTTTGCTACTTCATTGCCTGTTTTGTCTCAATATAATTATTTATAAAATGTATATTACAATAATACCTCATTTTATGAATTTAATACATTTAAAGCATTTAGCATTCTTCTCCCATGGATTTTGTCATCTACCCACTTAGAAACTTTTATAAAAAGTTCTATCCATTCACAATAAAAATTATTTACACTCAAAAAGTTGGCAGTCCTTACTCATCTAGGGGTGCCTTAGAAGACAGTGGTGATCTGCTTCTGAAAGATCACAGCTTTGAACACCCTGCTTTGTAACACGTTGGGTTGTCATGAGTTAGAGTTGACTCAGTGACAACTGGTCAGAAGCTTTTGTTTTGTTTTGTTTATTGGTTTTTACGTTCAGTATAGTGTATTATTAAAGTTACTTATAACAAAGTTCGTGTATGTTGGGACGGGTTGACTAGAGAAACAAAACTAGAGATACTCATATATGTATAAGAAAGAGCTTTATATCAAGAAGTAATTGTCTATCAGGAAAACACCCCAGCCCAGTCCAACTCAAGTTCATAAGTCCAATACTAGTCCGTAAGTCTGATACTAACCCATAAATCCCACTTCAGACTCAAGCAGCCATGTGCACTGATGCAGAATGCAGGGACATCACAGGCCAGTGGATGCAGAGTTGTGTGGATCCAAATGGCTGTGGCTCTGGCAGTTCTCCACAGCACAAAAGTGAAGCAGAGAGAGACTGGGAGTTTCCCAGGACCCTCCTTATAAGGAGGTCACGCCTACAAGGAGGCACCATCAGGCTGTGATTTAATTGACAAGCTAAGCTTCGCCCCTGCACTTCAAGTTGACATGAAATTATGTAGCTACCACACCCTATATTTGATTTTATCTTGTTCATTCATACTGTAAGAAATTCAACTGGGCTGATTGCACCCTGGGAAACAGCTGACAAGGCACACGGACCCACCCTGATGGCACCCCTGGGTATTGGAGAAGCTATGCAGAGACCCCTGCCAGTGCTGAGGTGTTTCCAGTGCCACTGGATCCAAAGACTGTCTACCCACTGGCCTGTGATCTTCTACATTTGGCATCACTGCATGTGTTTTGTGAGTCTGAAGAGGACTTTATAGATTGATATAGGACACATGGCCTACTATTGGACTTAAGGACTTGATCCGGACTGACTGGGATGTTTTCTCAATGTTCAGTTGCTCTTGTATATAAATCTTTCTTATACACACACACACAAAAAAAAAGAAATTCAACTGGAAAATTATTTTCCCAGTAATTAAAAAGCATCTACCGAGAAACAGTACAGAAGCAGAGCGTATATATACTCTGTTCCCAATTGTGCTTTGAAGGTTTTCTTATGAAAATAAAAATCTATGCAGAACGTATTTTATGAGGGGGGGTTCAAAGCCTTCATAGGAAAATGGCATGAAAAGGACTGGAACTTCCCCACTAACCTTTTGAAGCCCTCTTGTGTATGTTGCCCATTTGTAGGTGTGGGGCTGTCGTTGGGGAGGCCCTGGGCCTCTGGACAAAAAGAGAAAGATCCTTTTAGATGCAACTTTTGCAGTTTTATGCCACTTTAACCCTGTGTATATGAGGTGTACTACTTCATTTAAAAATAAAAATGGAAAAGAAAAATGGTTGATTAAGGAAATGAATAAAAATTCTCTCTTCCTTAACATTAGGGAATACAGAGGGATTAAGACTGGCATATTCATTCAGAGGCCAACTATCTGCATTAATATTTTGAGGGACATTGTAAAATTACATATAATGTGATGAGATTCAGAGATTAAAGGATCCCAAAGTAGATATAATGCATAGACAAGATCAAGAAGAAAAGTACTATAAAACTATTTGAAACTCAGAGCTATATACAGTTCCCAAAGTTGGCCAAAACTTTTGCCCTGAACTTTTTGTCAGGATTATCTCCACAACTTCTGGAGACACCAGTCCCATGGATTTGGCACATGCGCTTCACCCCCTTCTATATAAATCCAGAAAGTTCCTGGCACTCAAATAGAATAAGATACAATTGTGTCAGTGTCCCGTTGTCTGTGAAGAAAAAGTGGGCTTTTTTTCTCGAAAAGGAACAAAAGCTTTCTTGTCTTGGGACTGAAAGTAATGTCTTACTTGCTTTTCAGATAGAGATAGCGTAGTATATTGGTCAAGACAGTTCTTGTAATAATAGTAACAGTTGCAGTGTCCTTCTAGTTAAACCAAGGGTGTGTTTCCAAAGCACAGTTCGTGATGACACTTTCAGAAAAACCTCACTGTCATACAGTCTGTTCTGACTTGGAGTTGCTGAGGTTAATAACCTTTAGAAGAGAGATAGCCTCATCTTTCTCCTGAGGAGTAGCTAGTGGGCTTGAACCACTGACTTTGGTAGTTGGCAGCCCAATATTTCCTGGACCACACCACCAGGGCTCTTTTACTTGGAACCAGTTCTCTGGTGGAATAAAGAGATTGCAATCTAATTATATTACTCAAATGTAGGTAAAACAATGAGACTACAATTATAAAACCTTATATAGTCAAATCTGTGCCTTTTACTTTACGGACTATGCACATTGATTTCTTTAAAATGTTATCTTGCATGGAGATTAGGTATTTCAGTTAGGTTTCAGGAAAGGGTTTCTAAAATGTATAGATTAGGCTTAATAAAGTAGATTGTTTTGGCAGGAATAGTTTATTGTTAGAATTTACCTGTTAAGTAATAGTTTATATTTTAATGACATCATAAAATCAACCTTTATTTTTCAGAAATATACTCAGAGCAATGGACGAAGACCTTTTGGTATTTCTGCCTTAATTGTAGGTTTTGATGATGATGGTATCCCACGCTTATATCAGACAGATCCCTCTGGTACCTATCATGCTTGGAAGGTAAACTTTGAATTTGTTAACATTTTTGTTGAAGTTGCAGAAGGTGTGGCAGAAAGTGTTAGCTGTATGCTAAATACGTGAGTGCTTCCAGGAACATGACACAGCTTAGGTTGCATAATTCTGATTACTTTTGCTGGTCACAGACTTTATAAATTGTGTCACAAATTCTTGTACTCGTAAGACTTTAGCTTATCAGAAACGATGGTACTTTACATATGAACAGCTTAATGTCTTAATCACAGGGCCTTTTCCTTTTATAGATATGAAACAAATCAATCTTAAGTATATATAAAAATTAAATAAATAAATGGAGCTAGGTAAAAGATGTAACTCGTCTCTATTGATTGTGCAGTCTTCAAATTAGTATTGCTCCATATAGATGTCTGCCTTGCCCAAGAATAGTCTTTCTCCTCTTTATAAAGAAGTGAGAGGGAATATAAACCCTTTACTGGAATATCTAGTGCATCTTATTGTATAGTCTATCTAGGAGAGGCAGACCACCCAAATATGAGTCTGTGCTTAAGCATCAAGACATTACAGTAGTATTGATATAAAACTCTCACTGCCATAGAGTCAATGCTGACTCATAGCAACCTCCTATGGGTTTCTGAGATTGTAACGGTTCACGACAGTAGAAAGAAAGTCCAGTCTTTTTCCCTAGGAGCTGCAAGTGGTTTTGAACTGCTGACCATGCGGATCACAGCCCAATGTGTAATCACCACCCCACCAGGGTCCCTCATTGTATTGACAGAGTTCCACATCATTCCTGAAATATTGTTTGTTTCCTGGATGAATTGTTATTCTTGTTTAAATACTCAATGGCTAACTTGTTTAATGGTGTGTTCGTATCTAACACTATAGAAGCAGATGCGTTTCTGAAATGGAGAAAAAAAATTCCCTTCCATCTGAAAGGAAGAAAGTTGGACTTAGCGAGAAAAGAACAAAACTCAACACTTTCTTTACAATTGCCAGTTTAGCTGGATAAGGATTTCTGGATCTGATAAATGAGAAAGACTATAAGTTATTTTTAATTTAATTATTAATAATAGCTTATTGCTTAGCAATGAGAGGCTTGACTAGAGAAGAGATCATAAATATTGTTTCTGTTATTGCAATTAACTATGATTAGCTTTTAAATTTAATCCAGTAAATATGGTATGCCTTCTGTGTCATAGGCATTAAAAGGCACTTTTAAAAAAATACATGTAATTCTGAATTATTTAGAGACATATGCCTAATGCTTCAGGGCCCACTTTGACTATTTACATATTATCTTCAGAAGTGAATTTGTCTATATTTGCATATTTACAAATAAGAATACACGACACAGTCTTATAAGTGATTTGGACTTTGCTTAAAACTTAAATACTAGGGATCTACACAATTTCTCTAAAAGGCCCTATACTTCAATTGAAAGTCAAGTGAATGATAGGGAACTATTGCTGTTCTCTATGCCCGTGTTAAGTAAAAGATATGACTTAAGCTGACTGTTCTCAGAAGGTACTGTTTTATACATTAATTAGCTAGTCTATTAAAATTGTGGATCATATTCTTACACACAAAAACAATATTCTGTCAGCTGCACACCTTTTTTAAAGCTGATTTTAAGCAACTAGGAAAATCTATCTGGTTATGAGGAGGTATGGATTTGCCTGCTGAAATAACAGACTTTTCTGTCAGAAATCTCTTATCAGTGCCTCTCAGCTCTTTGCCATAAACAAATCAAGTTACTACATTTAATCTTCTCTAAGTATTTTGAAGTCTGCCATCTTCTGTTTACATTTATTACTACATCTGCACCCTTAGTTTCAATATCATAATCTAGAAATACAAAGAGAAGCATTTTTATATTTTTTATCCCAGGGATAATTTTGTTAGTATTATCGAATTTTTAAATGGGAACATCATTGATTTTCCTGGGTTGATGAATTATGTTTGGTTGTGGTTTTAAAACAACTTGGGAATATACTCCACTACTATCATTTTACATATTTTTATAGACTGCTTTCTCCGAAGATCTTGAATAAGGGAGCAATATGTGGTGTAAAAATTCCACAACAATAAAAACATTTTAAACCTGTTTTATTTTGTGTAACTTAGACTCAGTTATATTATTTTATTATTATTATTATATTGCTAGTTAATAGCACAATTGGAATTAGAACTCGAAGATTTCTGTTTCTCAATCCACTGTTCTTTCTACTACTTCATGCTGTTGGTCCATAGGCCAAGTATGTATAATTGTTGTGAAAATTAAGGAAGAACGTAAAGAAGCAAGTGAGGCATTTATTTACTGTGGTCTTCCAAGCAGGAGTTATAAGGACAGAGTCTCACAGGCAGAAGAATGCTCCATATGGATAGTGTGTCTATGAGAAAATGATGTGTAAATTGAAACTGAACGAAGAGAGCCCAGCCAAGTGACTATATTGGATGCAGGGGCTGACATATGGGGATGGGCTCAGAGAAAATCTTAACAAATAATTCTTGTGGTCTGCCAGATTTAGGACCCATAATTTTCATGTGAAAAATTGCACTTCTGTAACTTTCAGGTAGGTCTGTGAAGTCCATACTGTGTAAGAGTTGTTTGCCTAATAAGCTTAAGAATTTAATCAGATAGTTTATTTATTATACAACAGCAGGTCTCAAAATGTGGTCCTGACATCTCTGTCCATGAAGTCAAAACTATTCTCATAATACTACTCAGATGTTATTTGGCTTTTTGAAACATTGTGTTGATATAAAACCGATGACCGACAGTGTCTTCAACCTAGATACCAAAAGAACTAGATGATGCCTGGCTACAACTGTCAGTGGCTCCGGAAAGGATCACATTAGAAAGTCCTGGGTAGAGGGGAGGAAAATGTGAAACAACTCAGAATTATAAAAGAGACCAGGCTGACTGGTTTGATAAGAAGACCTGAGATTCCCCCAGGAATAGGGCCCTTTGTCACCATTCAGGTCTGGAATTGAACTCACCCCTGTGTTAAAATAATCCGTTGTTTAAGATAAAAAAGACAGTATTACTCAAGGACAAAAAGGGTTAGGCAGGAAACAGGAAGTGGATAAGCAATGGTTCATTAAGAGGATTGCAATGGATGAGTTGGAGCAAAATGTGTATGAATTATTGAATATAACACTGTTGATCTACTTTGTAAAACTTTGCCTAATTCACACTAAAACGTTTTTTAAAAAGCAAAAACATTAATGACTACAACTGCTGGTGCCTTAGCATGAATCAGGACAGTGGTGCCTACCTCTGTTAGTACTCATCCATAGTCTTTGCTATCATGCAGTTGGAGTAAACCAGTAAACAGGTTTGACTTTCACATAAAATATCCTTGATGAAATACAGTCTTCAAAACATTTGTAAAAAAAGATAATAAAATGCAAAAATAAAAATGTAAACTTTATTTCTCACCATAAACTCCTTGAAGGTCAAGTCACTTTTTAAAGTGATAACGGCCATGTCATTCATCCCTAAGAAACAGTGTGTCCTAGAATTTAACCATGAAAACACAGTCTCTTTTATTCCTAACTGAAGGAAAAAGGGTGTCCTTTTAATGAATTTTTAAGGTTAAGAAACAAAAAATCAGAGGGAGCCAAATCAGAACTGTGGATATTTAATGATTTCCCATGAAAAAATCTTGGCAAAATTGCCATTGTTTGTTGAGAAGAATGAGCAAGAGCATTATCATGGTGGAAGAATCTGGTTAAGTTTTTCTGGGAATTTCTCTGCTAAAGCTATGGCGAACATTCTCAGGACAGGCGTAACAAGAAGTTACCATTCTTGGATCCTCTAGAAAGTCAACAAGGAAAGTGACTTGGACATCATGATCTTTGCTCTTGATTGGTCTACTTTGCTTTGACTGGGCCACTTGGTAGCCATTACTTTAATTGTACTTTATCTTCAGGATCATATTGATAAAGCCATGCTTCATCTCCTGTTACAATTCTTCCAAGAAGATCTGATTTGAATGCAATGGTTTGGGTACCCATTAAGCAGAAAGTTTATTCAACTTTAACTTTTCAGTCAGAATTGTGGAAGCTGAACCATTTAAACTGACTATGATGTTGGTTATTGTTTTTACTGTTAATCACTAGTCCTTTTTAATTAGGCCATGGAAAAGATGAGTCATTTCCTTGCAAATTGATGGGTGGTCTGTTGCTGCAGGTTTTATGTTCAAAAATTTCTTATCCTTTATTAAAATGAGTTAACCATCTGCAAACTACTGGCTTTGGGGGTATTGTCCCCATAAATTTTTCATGAAACATAATTGATTTCACCCAAGATTCACCATAAATTTGAAGTTCTTACTTCAATTTTAGCAAAATTCATGTTCTGAGAGGGGTTCATTCAAATGATTTCTTATCCTTCGTACTTCAAACTAGATCATGTTCAGATATGTTATAATAAAGTAATACAAGTGTATTTTAGTATTAAGAAAAAAATGGAATCCAATTGATGTATAGTTGTTTCATAATACTCCATTTTGCATAAATACTATGTAGACTCTTTTTAGCAGGTGACCTCAAACTACAGCCAACGTGTCACATGCGGCCCACGGAGGACGTTTACGCAGCCTGCCAGGTGTTTTTGCCGCCACTGCCTGTCTTGCTTAGAAGCTGACTTGTCCAGTGTGCATAGGAATTTGTTCATAGATTTTTAAAACTATAGTCTGTCCCACTAACGGTCTGAGGGACAGTGAACTGCTCCCCTGGTTAAAAAGTTTGAGGACCCCTGCTTTTTAGTAAGAATAATTTTATTAAATCTTAAATTTTTAAAAAATCATTTTATTGGGGTCTCATAATCCATTGTGTCAAGCACACTTATACATTTGTTGCCATCTTCAATCTCAAAACATTTGCTTTCTACTTGAGACCCTGGTATCAGCTCCTCATTTTTCCATTCCCACCCCACTACCCCCCCCCATGAACCTTTGATAATTTATAAATTATTATTTTCTCATGTCTTACATTGTCCAACATTTCCTGTCACCCAC